TATTCTATATTCCCTATTTAAAACAGTGATATCTGTAAACTGAGTGGCACCCAGTGTACAGATATCAGTGTTATATATAGGGAATAGCACGCAATGTACAGATATCAGTGTTATATATAAGGAATAGCACTCAGTGTAAAGATATCAGTGATATATACAGTGGCTTGAAAAAGTCTTCCTCACGACTGAAATGTCCCCCATGTTGTCATGTTACAATGTATTCACCCCCTGAAATGTCCCCCATGTTGTCATGTTACAATGTATTCCCCCTCTGAAATCTCCCCCATGGTGTCATGTTACAATGTATTCCCCCCCTGAAATGTCCCCCATGTTGTCATGTTACAATGTATTCCCCCCCTGAAATGTCCCCCATGTTGTCATGTTACAATGTATTCCCCCCCCTGAAATGTCCCCTATGTTGTCATGTTACAATGTATTTATTGGGATTGGATGTGATAGACCAACACAAAGTGGCACACAGGGGCGGACTGACCATTTGGAAACTCGGGCACTGCCCGAGGGCCCGGGGTCAGTAGGGGGGCCCCATGTGATGCCCCTGGTACCTTTTTCATAGGCTTTTTTGAGTTTGGGCAAGGACACAGGGGCCCCATGATCCCCTATTGCCCAGGGGCCCCATGAGTTGTCAGTCCACCCCTGGTGGCACATAATTGTTAAGTGGAAGGAAAATGAGAAATGGTTCAAACATTTGTGACCAATAAATCTGTGAAAAGTGTGTTGGCATTTGTATTCGGCCCCCTGAAGTCAGTATTTTGTAGGACCCCCTTTGGCTGCAATTCCATCTGCAAGTCTTTTTGGGGATGTCTCTCCCAGCTTTGCACATCTACAGAGTGACATTTCTTCCCATTCTTCTTTGCAGAATCACTCAAGCTCTGTTATTGGATGGAGAGCGTCTGTGAACAGCAATTTTCAGGTCTGGCCACAGATTCTCCATTGTATTTCGGTCTGGACTGTGACTGGGCCATTCTAACACATGAATATGCTTTGTTTAGAAAGTTTGGAGACCCCAAATTTAGTTCATAGGGCCACTTTACTGTCCTTCAAGTTTTTGGGGGCCAGACTGTGGTCTTTGGGATCAGAAATTGTCCTGGCATCAGTAGGAGTAAACCATGCATCTTTAGTATTAGGGGGAGGACTAGCATCCCACCTTTGGTGTCAATGGGAGGAATAGTGCCCCATCATTGGTATCAGTGGGATGAATAGTGCTCCATCATTGGTATCAGTGGGAGGAATAATGCCCCATCATTGGTATCAGTGGGAGGAATAATGCCCCATCATTGGTATCAGTGGGATGAATAGTGCTCCATCATTGGTGTCAGTGGGAGGAATAATGCTCCATCATTGGTGTCAGTGGGAGGAATAATGCCCCATCATTGGTATCAGTGGGAGGAATAATGCCCCATCATTGGTATCAGTGGGATGAATAGTGCCTTATTATTCATGTCAGTAAAAAGGAATAATGTCCTATCATTGGTGTCAGTGGGAGGAATAGTGCCCTATCGTTGGTGTCAGTGGGAGGAATAGTGCCCTATCGTTGGTGTCAGGGAGGAATAGTGCCCTATCATTGGTGTCAGTGGAAGGAATAGGAAAAATTCATTAAAACCTTCATTTTGAAATGTACTATGTAAGTTTTTTTTTTCTTCTTTATTTTGTGTAATAAACATTTATTTTCAACATACTGTAGAGAAATTCTGTGACAAACGCATGTTTTGCGGGCAGTGTAATATTTAGGTAGGGCTTTGTGTGGGTGCGGCTTGAGTGGGCAGGGACACAGGGGGCCCCATGATCTCCTATTGCCCGGGGGCCCCATGAGTTGTCAGTCCACCACTGACCCCACATGAGAACAGTGTGCAATTAGAACCTAGTTCAAGAAGTAAGCCCCTGTGAATGATAAGGACCAACAACTACCTTACATATGTATAATGGTCCTTCAAGAGCATGGGCTCATTTCCATCCGTGATTAGGAAAAGGCCTCATTTATATGGTTTCCTGATTTTCAGAATGGAGCCATAACAATCTCTCTATTTTTAGCTTGTCAGATCCTTCATTGTGGATCTTCTTCACTTGTACTTTAAGTTATTACCTATTTCAAACCTTTAATATATACATACACATATATATATATATATATATATATATATATATATATATATATATATATATATTTTTTTTTTTTTTGACCGCATTTAGCCCTGATTTACACTGGATCCGGCTTTGAAACAGTGCGACTTCAATTGCGGTCACCCAATTTCAAAGTCGCATGTCAGTGCAACTTCAGGTGCAACTTGAAAGATGCCTGTTTGACTTCATGCACAGATATCTATGCAAGTCGCAGCTGAAATCGCAAAAAGTAGTGCAGGAACTACTTTAAAAATCGGTGCGACTCTGAAGGAGTCGGAGTCGCACCAATTTGAACAGTTCCATTGCAAATAATACGGTGCAACTTGCAATTTGAAACTGTCAAATCGCATGACAAGTCACACCAGTGTGAAACAAGGCTTCAAGGATAAGTTCACCTTTTGGGAAAAAATAATAAATGCAGGTAAAAAAATGTATATTTATTATTTTTGTCCAAAGTAGCCTGTAAAGCATTGCACTTGCGACCAGTAGATCACTGATGCCATGCAGGGCTCCTGCAGACCTGTCAGAATATCTGCTTGCCGTAAGGGATGTACGAGCAAGCAGGTATACTGACAGGAAGCTTCAATGAACTAGCACTGTGCACCACAGTGATGTGGTATTCATTGAAAACTACAATCCGACAGCCACTAAGGGTGCTGGGACTTGTAGGCACTTATTCAAAGAACTCTGTGAATGAGTGACGCAGTCATGTAGGCAGAGCCCCGCAGAGCTGCGCTGTTTTCAAATGTGACAGATAGTACGGGGAGAAGTCTCCCCATACTATCTGTCAGAGGGAGGGGGGGCTGCTGGTGTGGCTGCGGTTATAGTAACATGTTACATGTTCACCCTATAAATGGGTGGAACATGTAACATGTTCCAAAGGTGAACTTATCCTTTAAAAGATAAGTTCACCCGTAGAAAAAAAATATTGTTAATAAATGCACATTTTTTTGCAGGTATTTTTTTCTTTAACATTGTAGCTTATAAAGCATTGCACCCACGATCAGCAGATTGCGGGTGCAATTCCAGGCTCCTGCAGACTCTCAGTACACTGTCTGCATGTGCCTTGTAAGGATACGCAGTTACAGAATTGCAGGAAAATCAATGAACTACGATTGCACTCATCAGCACCCTTGCAGTTCATTGAGGACTACAAGCCGACGTACAAGATACAGAAGTCTAAATGTGTGGGCTTCTTGAATATTGTGTCATAAACAACGTATTTTTCGTTCCATAAGACGCACCTAGGTTTTAGAGGCAGAAAACAAGAAAAAAAATATTCTGAACCAATGGACTGCAGACACAGTACAGGAAATGACCAGAGACTGCAGACATAGTACAGGAGATGACCAGAGACTGCGGACATACTACAGGAGATGACCAGAGACTGCGGACGTACTACAGGAGATGACCAGAGACTGCAGACATACTACAGGAGATGACCAGAGACTGCGGACGTACTACAGGAGATGACCAGAGACTGCGGACACAGTACAGGAGATGACCAGAGACTGCGGACACAGTACAGGAGATGACCAGAGACTGCGGACACAGTACAGGAGATGACCAGAGACTGCGGACACAGTACAGGAGATGACCAGAGACTGCGGACATAGTACAGGAGATGATCAGAGACTTCGGACACAGTACAGGAGATGACCAGAGACTGCAGTCATAGTAGAGGAGATGACCAGAGACTGTGGTCATAGTACAGCAGATGACCAGAGACTGCGGACACAGTACAGGAGATGACAAGAGACTGCAGACACTACAGTAGATGACCAGAAACTGCGGACACAGTACAGGAGATGACCAGAGACTGCGGACACAGTACAGGAGATGACCAGAGACTGCGGACATAGTACAGGAGATGACCAGAGACTTCAGTCATAGTAGAGGAGATGACCAGAGACTGCGGACACAGTACAGGAGATGACCAGAGACCGTGGTCATAGTACAGCAGATGACCAGAGACTTCGGACACAGTACAGGAGATGACCAGAGACTGCGGACACAGTACAGGAGATGACCAGAGACCGTGGTCATAGTAAAGCAGATGACCAGAGACTGCGGACACAGTACAGGAGATGACCAGAGACTGCGGACACAGTACAGGAGATGACCAGAGACTGCGGACATAGTACAGGAGATGACCAGAGACTGCAGTCATAGTAGAGGAGATGACCAGAGACTGTGGTCATAGTACAGCAGATGACCAGAGACTGCGGACACAGTACAGGAGATGACAAGGGACTGCAGACACTACAGTAGATGACCAGAAACTGCGGACACAGTACAGGAGATGACCAGAGACTGCGGACATAGTACAGGAGATGACCAGAGACTTCGGTCATAGTAGAGGAGATGACCAGAGACTGCGGACACAGTACAGGAGATGACCAGAGACCGTGGTCATAGTACAGCAGATGACCAGAGACTTCGGACACAGTACAGGAGATGACCAGAGACTGCGGACACAGTACAGGAGATGACCAGAGACCGTGGTCCTAGTAAAGCAGATGACCAGAGACTGCGGACACAGTACAGGAGATGACAAGAGACTGCAGACACTACAGGCGATGACCAGAAACTGCGGACACAGTACAGGAGATGACCAAGAGACTGCGGACAGTACAGGGGATGACCAGAGACTGTGGACAGTACAGGGGATGACCAAAAGACTCTGGACAGTACAGGGAATGACCAGAGACTGTGGACAGTACAGGGGATGACCAGAGACTGTGGACAGTACAAGGGATGACCAGAGACTGCGGACAGTACAGGGGATGACCAAGAGACTGCGGACAGTACAGGAATGACCAGAGACTGTGGACAGTACAGGGGATGACCAGAGAGTACGTACAGTACAGTGGATGACCAGAGACTGCGGACAGTACAGGGGATGACCAGATACTGCGGACAGTACAGGGGATGACCAGATACTGCGGACAGTACAGGGGATGACCAGAGACTGCGGACAGTACAGGGATGACCAGAGACTGCGGACAGTACAGGGATGACCAGAGACTGCAGACAATACAGGGGATGACCAGAGACTACGGACATAGTACAGGGGTTGACCAGAGACTACGGACAGTACAGGGGATGACCAGAGACTGCGGACAGTACAGGGGATGACCAGAGACTGCGGACATAGTACAGGGGATGACCAGAGACTATGGACAGTACAGGGGATGACCAGAGACTACGGACATAGTACAGGGGATGACCAGAGACTGCGGACATAGTACAGGGGATGACCAGAGACTATGGACAGTACAGGGGATGACCAGAGACTACGGACATAGTACAGGGGAGACCAGAGACTGCGGACATAGTACAGGGGATGACCAGAGACTGCAGACAATACAGGGGATGACCAGAGACTACGGACATAGTACAGGGGTTGACCAGAGACTACGGACAGTACAGGGGATGACCAGAGACTGCGGACAGTACAAGAGATGACCAGAGACTGCGGACATAGTACAGGGGATGACCAGAGACTGCGGACATAGTACAGGGGATGACCAGAGACTGCGGACATAGTACAGGGGATGACCAGAGACTATGGACAGTACAGGGGATGACCAGAGACTGCGGACATAGTACAGGGGATGACCAGAGACTATGGACAGTACAGGGGATGACCAGAGACTACGGACATAGTACAGGGGATGACCAGAGACTGCAGACAGTACAGGAACCGCTCCATATTCGCTCCATAAGACGCACTGACATTTTCCCTCCTTTTTTGGGGGGAAAAAAGTGCGTCTTATTATGGAGCGAAAAATACGGTAAATCATTTTCTGGATTGCCCACAGCCACCAATGAGATTCATATTTTCATAATCTAAACTCACTTTTTGTATAGCTGTGTACAATTGCTCCTTTATAACTGCAATGTATACTTTATCTGTGTTGCTTATGATGTGTAGGACTACAGCAACAACTACAGTGGATATAGAAAGTCTACACACCCCTGTTAAAATGTCAGGTTTCTGTGATGTAAAAAAATTAGACAAAGATCATTTCAGAACTTTTTCCACCTTTAATGTAACTTATAAACTGTACAACTCAATTGAACAACAAACTGAAATCTTTTAGGCGGAGGGAAGCAAAAATAAAAAAAAAACAAAATAATATGGTTGCATAAGTGTGCACACCCTTAAACTAATACTTTATTGAAGCACCTTTTGATATGATTCCAGCACTCAGTCTTTTTGGGTATGAGTCTATCAGCATGGCACATCTTGACTTGGCAATATTTGCCCACTCTTCCTTGCAAAAACACTCCAAATCTGTCAGATTGCGAGGGCATCTCCTGTGCACAGCCCTCTTCAGATCACCCCACAGATTTTCGATCAGATTCAGGACTGGGTCATTCCAAATATTGATTCTTCTTCTGGTGAAGCTGTTCCTTTGTTGATTTAATGTATGTTTTGGGTCGTTGTCATGCTGAAAGATGAAAGTCCTCTTCATGTTCAGTTTTCTAGCAGAAGTCTGAAGGTTTTGTGCCAATATTGACTGGTATTTGGAAATGTTCATAATTCCCTCTACCTTGACTAAGACCCCAGTTCCAGCTGAAGAAAAACAGCCCCAAAGCATGATGCTGCCACCACCATGCTTCACTGTGGGTATGGTGTTCTTTTGGTGATGTGCAGTGTTGTTTTTGAGCCAAACATATCTTTTGGAATTATGGGCAAAAAGTTCAACCTTGGTTTCATCAGATCATAACACATTTTCCCACATGCTTTTGGGAGACTTTAGATGTGTTTTTGCCAAACTTAGTCGGGCTTGGATGTTTTTCTTCATAAGAAAAGGCTTCCATCTTGCCACTCTACCCCATAGCCCAGACATATGAAGAATACAGGAGATTGTTGTCACATGTACCACACAGCCAGTACTTTCCAGATATTCCTGCAGCTCCTTTAATGTTGCTGTAGGATTCTTGGCAGCCTCCCAGACCAGTTTTCTTCTCATCTTTTCATCAGTTTTGGAGGGATGTCCAGTTCTTGTAATGTCACTGTTGCGTCATATTTTCTCCACTTGATGATGACTGTCTTCACTGTTTTCCATGGTATATCTAATGCCTTGGAAATTCTTTTGTACCCTTCTCCTGACTGATACCTTTTAACAATGAGTTCCCTCTGATGCTTTGAAAGCTGTCTGCGGACCATGGCTTTTACTGTAGGATGTGACTAAGAAAATGTCAGGAAAACCTACTAGAACAACTGAACTTTATTTGGGGTTAATCAGAGGCACTGTGAATGATGGCAGGTGTGTACTGACTCCTATTTAACATGATTTTGAATGTGATTGCCTAATTCTGAACACAGCTACATCCCCAGTTATAAGAGGGTGTGCACACTTATGCAACCACATTATTTTAGTTTTATTATGTTTACTTTGCCCCCTAAAAGATTTCAGTTTGTTTTTCAATTGAATTGTACAGTTCATAGGTCACATCAAAGGTGAAAAAAGTTATGAAATGATTTACCTGTGTCTCATTTCTTTTACTTCACAGAAACCTGACATTTTAACGGGTGTGTAGACTTTTTATATCCACTGTACATCAGTATTCAGTAGCAAAATATTCTTTAACCAGTAGATGGCAGCGTTTATAAGTTTGCAGCTGCATCTATGGCAAACTCTGTCTTTTGGCTGAGTAAGGTTTCCTGTTTCCTGGTTGCAGTGAAGCAGAAAAACACATGTGGACAGTGCACTGTCTGTTCTCTAGGACTATATACAGAATTTCTAACATGATGTATTGTATATACTGTATGTGTATATTGTGAACCTGTGAGGAACTGCCATGATGTGAATTTAGTAAACATGCATATTAAAGACTGGATTCAGTTTGAGAAGCTCCACTATGTTGGTTATGAGCAGAGGAGGCTATGTTTTAGGCTTTCTTTGGGTTTTTTAGTCCTGGATCGAGGCCTGGAGGTTGAAAGTTCTAAAGTGTTTTGGGTGGATGGAACCTTCTATTCTGTGTCCATTTCTTACTAGAAGCGTGCAGGTTGTGTGTGTGTCTAGGTGCACACATCTGTAATAAGCCAGGCCTGATGGGAGCTCAGGGCAGTTGCTGTAATTTGTATGAAGGGCGCTGACAGGAGAACTGTGTTTTCCTGAAGGAGACTGTACCCCCTGGTGGGGGGATAACTTGTCACTAGACTGTGAAAGTTGAGACAGCTACACGAAACTGGACACACGGAGGGTCCGGGAGGCCAAGAAACCTGTGGAAGCTAGTAAGTCCAGGGGGCTGGAGCAGGGGAGGACTGACAACTTATGGGGCCCCTGGGAAATAGGGGATCATGGGGCCCCTGTGTCCTTGCCTACACTCAAAGCACACCCAAAAAAGCCTAAAAAAAGGTACCAGGGGCATTTCATGGGGCCCCCTACTGACCCCGGGCCCTCAGGCAGTGCCTGAGTGCCTGAATGGTCAGTCCGCCCCTGGGCTGGAGGGAGTCCAGGTAGTCTATAGAAGAGTGAGTAAGCTCAGGGAACTGGAGAATCTGCTCAGCAAGGTGCTGCAATCTGCAAGGCTGAGCAAGCCCGGAGAACTGGTGGTCTGAGGGCCTAGTATTCATAGCCATGGTGCGGTGGAAGAATAGCCAGGTGAGCTAGCATTTCCATTAGTTCATTTTTTTTTTATGTTGAAAAACACCTGTGTGGGAATCTATGTTTATGGACTTTGTTTTCAATAAAAACAGGCTGCCATGCTCTAAAAAAAACAGCACCCCTGAGTGGGAGTCTATTTTCAATAAAGGTGAGCTGGCATGCTCTTAAAAAGGAACTTGGACTGATGCAAGCTCACTAAAAAAAATGCACCTACCACATGAGCTACCAATCCTACAGAGTCACCAACTGTCTACAGAGGTAATAGCTAAAAACCAAACTTCGTGTGGCCTTCAGATTAGCACAACAGCAGTGCATAGAGAGCTTCATGGAATGGGTTTCCATGGCCGAGCAGCTGCATCCGAGCCTTACATCACCAAGTGCAATGCAAAGTGTCAGATGCAGTGGTGTAAACATGCTGCCACTGGACTCTAGAGCAGTGGAGACGTGTTTTCTGGAGTGACCAATCATGCTTCTCTGTCTGGCAATCCAATGGAAAAGTCTGGGATTGGCAGTTGCCAGGAGACCAATACTTGCCTGACTGCATTGTGCCAAGTGTAAAGTTTGTGAAGGGGGGATTATGGTGTGGGGTTGTTTTTCAGGGGTTGGGGTTGGGCTTGACCCCTTAGTTCCAGTGAAGGGAACTCTTAAGGCATCATCATACCAAGACATTTTGGACAATTTCATGCTCCCAACTTTGTGGGAACAGTTCGGGGATGGCCGACATGACTGCACACCAGTGCACAAAGCAAGGTCCATAAAGACATGGATGAGCGATTTTGGGGTGGAGGAACCTGACTGGCCTGCACAGAGTCCTGACCTCAACCCGACAGAACACCTTAATTAGAGTGGAGACTGTGAGCCAGGCCTTCTCGCCCGACATCAGTGCCTGACCTCACAAATCAGCTTCTGGAAGAATGGTCAAACATTCCCATAGACACATTCCTAAACCTTGTGGACAGCCTTCCCAGAAGAGTTGAAGCTGTTATAGTTGCAAAGGGTGGGCCAACTCAATATTGAACCCTATGGACTAAGACTAGAATGCCATTAAAGTTGATATGCGTGTAAAGGCAGGTGTCCTAATACCTTTGGCAATATAGTATATATTACATACAGTAATCTGGTGATTTTCTTAGACATACATATAATCTTTTTTGTTGTTATAGAAGTAAACATCAGGTTTCTCAAACAAATGTCACTGAAAAACCTTTGCACAATCTGTCTTCTGATACAATGGGAAAATAGATACTATTGTATATTGGTACAATGTAAACAAGTCAATGACCATGGAAACATTTTTATCTGCTTTCTGGTCAAACACTGCACCCATGCTTTGTCCATAAAGGGCAACAATAGCTTGACCTTTTGACATTTGACCTATGGCATGTATGATACAACAGTGCCATCTAGAGTCTGAGTTGGGAAATGTTCACTCATACAAACTGATGAAAAAAGGATATGCCCATGTGGGAATGGCTACCCAAAGTTTCCAAATAAAAGGCCAGCAGCATAAGCTGCCCGGAGAGCTCCATAACAATAAG